CACATTCATACAACTCTAAGCACAAAGGTCGGAAGGTCTTTAAAGCTTGTAATGTAAGGTTAGGGTAAAGGGTAAGATAAATTTAGGAATAAGTGATAGAAAAGCTATGCTTAAGGGAGCAAATCCTAATAAAGCCCATGATCAAAATAAATAGTGATCAACATCTCCTACATAACCAACTCTAATATCAACCCAATATACTCCAATCATAATAAATAATCCCAACACTTACAATTTCACTCATAAGATATAATAATGAAGAAGTAGAATGAATAAACAAACTTTATTTTCCAAACTTGAATTTTCCATTGAAGCTCTTATTTTTCCTTTTGATCAATCTCCAACTAGAACATTTGAACATTTTTTTTTTCTTTTCTTTTGAAGTTCACTTATTTTTTTACATTTTTTTTCTTGAACTTCTCTTTTTTTTCATAACATCATACTTTATTTTTTCAAGAAAATATAACTCTCAAACTCATCAAAAATAAACATGATCAAAAACAAAATAACTTTTCAAAAGCCCACCCAAATTGTGCAAATAATAAGCACACTACAAACTCCCTCACCTCACTCGCTAATAGCTCCCCCAAGCCAAGCTTGGGACTAGTAACCAATGGGGCAAAATAGACTTGTAATATGGCTAATAAAAAACAAAAAGTCAAGGCAACAACATGAGTAGCAAGAAGGGAACAAATGTATCTACAATCATCTGGAGGCTACCTAAAAGAACAAATGCCTTCGCCCTCCTCAATGTGCATAATAATGAATCATATAAACATTACTTATAGTTGCAAATCAATACTCAAATTCATTGACATACCAAGAACTATGGAACTATCACACATTCCTAACCAAATAAACTAGTCAAGCACTATATTCACAAGTAGTTGGACAAAATTGACGCATGTTAAGATTTCAAGGCAATCAAACATCAAATCATGATAAACTAATCCACAATGCTTATCATCAAATACCAGGAATCAAAACAATTTTTCTCAAGTAAGGAGCACAGGGAAGCATAATTTACAATTCATTGGAACAAAACTAACCTAAGAAAGTAATAAAATCTATACTAAGAAAAATAAAAATAAAAAGAGAAGAGAGAGAGTGAAAGATGTACCATACGAACACTAGAACCTCCCCCCAAGCTAAATCAGACAATGTCCTCATTGTGTTAAAGGGAAGCTAGTAGTCAAGGTGACTACTCTTCATCATCACCACATCAATGTCACCAAAGCCTCGAGGATTGCAATGCATCTCTTTGGAACAAAATTGGGCAAGAAAGAAACAAAGTGTTAGTGGGAAAAAGTTCAAATTTGAGTCAGATGTACTCTTTCGATCATAACTTTTGATATATAAATGATAATAAAGTGATTCTAATTGCATTGGAAACTAGACTTGAAGAGCTTTCCAACGACAGGTCACACGCAAAAATCGGATAAAAAGTTATGGCCTGTCAAAGCAGTGGCGGAGCCAGGATTTTCAACTTGGGGGGACAAAATGCTTAACTTACGAAAAGCTTAACAAAAAAAAAAAACAAAAAAAAAACTCACACACAAATTGGTTAATACTTAATATTAAAATTTCAAAATACAAATATATACTTAGTCATACAATTCAAAATGATGAAAAAAATTACATAAACATTACATTAAAATTACAAGTTCATTCTTCGAGTCTTCATACTTTGAAATCGATCAATAATCTTTTCGTCGGAAACTCGTAAGAAGACATCCTTCTCAATAAAAGTGACCAAACAATCATTCATAAGTTGATCACCCATGCTATTTCGCAACTTGTTTTTGACACATGTCATTGCAGAAAACACTCTTTCAACACTTGCCGTGGCAACGGGAAGAATCAACATCAACTTGATAAGCAAATGAATAAGAGGAAAAGTCTTATGCTTATTGGTTTTAACAAGCATCATAGAAAGAGAATTAAGGTCATTTAAACCTTGAAATCTTTCATCATTTAGCATATTCTCCATGAATACATCAAGTTGATATTCAAGAGCCATCAAATCAAAGCTTGAAAATTCTTCGGGATAAAAAGAGGCAAGTTTAAGTACCTTATCTTTATCAAAGGATGAGAAGTTATCTTTAGGACTTAAACAAGCCATACATAATAGTAACTCCATATTCCTCTCATTAAATCGTTCATCAAGTTCTTGAAGATGCAAATCAATTAGTCTTAAGAAAATTCCAACCCGAAAATGATGTTCATTTGTTGCTTCTTCAACAAAACGTCTTGATCTTCCATGAGGAACATAAAGAGAATCCATAGTGGGAATAACAACACCATGTTTAGTGCAAAATGAAGTTACCTTGTTTAAGAGAGTATCCCATCCTCGCTCCCTCATTTTTTGCAACACCGTTTTTGTATAAGTGACAAGTTCCATGGCATTTACAATATCTTGCTCCTTTCTTTGCAAAGCAACACACAAATCATTAGTGTATCCAAAAATAGTCAACATCAAGTGAGCAACAAAAATAAAGTCAAATGACTCTAATTGTCCTAAAACAATTTGAGCTTTGAACTTATCTTCCGATGCACCATGCTTCCCAATTTGTACAAGCACCTTAATAATTGTAGGAAATAAGAGGATGGCATTTAAAAGTGACTTGTAATGAGAACTCCAACGAGTATCCCCGGGCCTACTCAAACCAAGTTCTTGATTTAAACCCGATCCACTCACAATATCCCCAACATCCAAGGCTCGAGCAACTTCTTGAGCTTGATCTTGACGAATCATTTCTCTTCTCTTGCAAGAAACTCCAACCACATTCAACAAATTTCCAAGTATCTCGAAAAGCCAACCACAACTATCATTCTTTTTAGCAACGGCAACTAATGTTAGTTGAAGTTGATGAGCAAAACAATGTATATAGTAGGCACTTGGAGTATCATTCATAATCAAAGTCTTAAGGCCATTTATTTCACCCTTCATGTTGCTAGCTCCATCATACCCTTGCCCTCTTATCATAGATGGGCTCAATGAATGTTCAACAAGTAAAGACATGATTGCATCTTTAAGAGTTAAAGCGGTAGTATTAGCAACATGAACAATGCCTAAAAATCGCTCCATTACCTTTCCACTATCTCTATCAACAAAACGCAAAACAAGAGCTAGTTGTTCTTTTTGGGACACATCACTTGACTCATCGGCCAATATAGCAAAGTAATCATCACCAACTTCTTCTATTATGCACCTAGTTGTTTCTTTGGCACAACAGTTAATAATGTCCTTTTGAATAGGAGGGGAAGTCATTTGACAATTTTTAGGTGCATTTTCAAGAGTATGTATCCTTACTTCCTCAACCTTTTCTCCTAACCACTTCAAAAGCTCAAGGAAATTACCCCTATTATATGACTCCCCACTTTCATCATGTCCACGAAATGCCAAACCTTGCCCCAAAAGAAATCTTAAACAAGATAAAGATGCTTTCAAGCGGATAAAATATTCACTTTTAATCACATCACTTGCATTGTCAATCACATTCAAGATTGATTTCTTTTTTTCATCTCTTAAATTCACATATTTCTCATAAGCAAGATTATGAGCACTTTTAATTCCACCAACATGCTTCTCAAATCTTTCCGGTTTATTCCATGCCCTAAACCCTCCATCAACAAATGCATCACCCCCCGGTTTAATACCAACTTCATTCTTGAACAAGTAACATACAAAACAAAATGCAGCATCTTTTTCAATACTATATTCAAGCCAATCCCATTTGTTGAACCAATGAACACTAAAGCGACGCAAACCAGACACTTGTCTTGTAGGGAAGTCATGAGTTTTTGGTTGGCAAGGTTTTTTAAGAATATAACCCCTCCTAACAGCATTTCGTTCATTTGCGGGGTAATCCATAATGTTTATTCTTTTTCCCGGATCATGAGGAAGAAGTTCAACATCATACACCAAATCTTCCTCTAATGGTACATTACTATTACTTGAACCACCCATTTCCATACTATTTTCTTGACTTTGAGGGGAGCTAAATGAAGGTGAGTTATTGGACTCATTTTCATTGGACTCATATTCATTGAGTTTCGTTCTTTTAAACAAGAATTGTCGAAGATCGGGTTGTTTAGTTGCCTTTGATTTGTTTGAATTTGGTGAATCGTTTGACATTTCCTAATTAAATCGAAAATTATATATCAATTTCCACAAGACCACAATCCACATCATTACATAATAACAAAACCTAAGAGGCTAAGATTTTAAATTTCTAATTCAACTACACATTTCAATAATTTACAATAATTAATAAATTTAAATTCACATTTCACAAAAACAACCAAAAACTCTAACAGGGGAAACAATCAAACAAATATAAATCAATAATCATTTATCAATTCAAATTATTCAATAATCAATACCCACAAGGCCACAAATGACAAATTCACAATAAAAATATAAACAATTAAACATTTAAACAAGTAATAAAAATATGAAATTCAGAATTTCAGATTTACTGTAAATTTAAACAATTAAACATTTAAACAACAAAACAAGTAATCAATTATTCAATTAATCATACATTCATTGATTCATACCTCCATTGAAATGCATATGACGAACACTCGAAGGTCTCGAACAGACGAAGTGTCGAAGTCACGCTGTCACGAAGACACGAAGTCACGATTCACGAAGGACGAAGGCTCAAGGGCTGAAGGGCGGCTGTTGAACCTCGTCACTGCTGCGAACTGCCGGCGAACGGTGGACGGCGTCACGGCGAGCCGGCTAGGCGATTGACGAACAGACGAAGTCACGAACACACGAAGTCACGAAGGACGAAGGCTCAAGGGCGGCTGTTGAACCTCGTCACTGCTGCGAAGTGCGAACTGCCGGCGAACGGACGAAGACTGCCGGCGAACGGACGAAGGCGAGGGCGAATCGAAGAGAGAGAAATTGAAAATTGAAAAACTTAGGGTTTGGCTTTGGCTGGCTGGAAAATGTCGCAACGCAACAGGATTGTAAATCTGTAATTGCATTTTTTTTATTTTTTTTTTTTAAATTTTTTTTTTTTTTAATTTTTTTTTTGAAAATGGGGGGACAAGTGTCCCCACTCGTCCCCTTCTAGCTCCGCCCCTGTGTCAAAGTTGACTAAGTTTGCTGATGCGTACGCGCGCCCGATCGAATACGAGTGCAGTTCCAGCGTGAATGAAGCCTTCTCTAGCTCAAAATAAAAACAAACTCCCACAAGCATTAGTTACACTCTCCTTACCTCTCTATAAAAAAATTAAAAAATAAAATAAAATAAAACACACACACAAAAATAAGAAAAAAAAATAAACTAAAAAGCAAATTAAAGTACGGGCCTCCCGCAAAGCGCTAGTTTATCAAGGTCCCGCTCGACCATACTCCTTCTCTCAATCGGACGAATTTAATGCCTTGAGTAACTTATCAAACGCATTCCCAAATTGCTGTTCAAATCAATAATTCAAAGGAAATCCACAAATCCTATATTATCAATCAAATTGAAGAAGCATCGAAAAATAACCTTTGGAGTTATATAACTGATTCTCAATGTCAACTGCTCGTCTTCATCATCGTCGAAATACTCAAATATGTAATCTTCTATATCCGCATCTATAACAATATTCAAATAAAATTAAATTGATTAAGCAAATGGAAAGCGCCATTAAAGCAAGAACCAAAATACAACAAAAAGCGACGAAATTGAAAGCGAAAATCCTACCGGAAACCATGGTAGAGCAGATAATCGGGGATCAAAGCATCAGGAAAAACCCTTGAGAAATTTGAATTTAAAATTATCAAATTAGGGTTTATGGGAAGTGAAAGAATTGTTCGGAAAAACCCTTTAGAAATTTGTTGTGTGATGTTGAAGAAGCTAGAGTTAGCGAAAAACAGGAAAAAACCTTGATATAAATCCGCTAAAGTTAATCTCAAATTCGAACAAACCAAAACAATATTGAATTCAGCGAGATACAGCGAAGGAGAAGGAGGAGCAGTGAAGGCGGAGAAGAAGTTTCACCTCGAGCAGTTCATTGGAGCGAACGTGCAAAAAGTTTGAGTTTGTTTTTTTTTATTTTCTAGCTAATTTACTGGCAGAAACTTAATATTTGTTGCTTCAAAAAAAAATAAACAAAATTTATTTTTTGACTTATTATTTGTAATTGGCGTTTGTAAGTTAATTACAAAATTTTTGGTCTAATTTTCTTTGACTTATTATTTGTAACTGGCGTTTGTAAGCTAGTTACAAACGCTTTGGTCAAATTTTATTTGACTTAATATTTGTAACTGCGTTTATAAGCTAGTTACACACTTCGGTCAAATTTTCTTTGACTTATTATTTGTAACTGGCGTTTGTAAACTAGTTACAAGCTTTTTAGTCAAAGTTTTTTTGACTTAATATTTGTAACTGACATTTATTTAGTCAGTTACTAATAAAACTTCAAACAATGATAAAACACGTATTAGTCACTGGCATTTATTACGCTGGTTACTAATGTCATGAAATTTGTAACTGACATTATCTTAGTCGGTTACAATTAATGATTTCATAACTAGCATAACATAGGCCAGTTACTAATAGGGCGTTACAAATAGCATTTTTTCTACTAGTGTACCAGTTATGGTTCCAGACCTATTGGAGTTGACGATCTGCTGGATCGTTAAGGGGTGTAACCTTCACCTCGTGAACGGTTTACAAGTTCCTAAAAATTGTTGGCAACTCTTTTGCTCTATCTTCCTTCCCTTTGGACGCCGCCGTGCTTTAGTGTATGATCACAGTGGGGTTCAAGTTTGGGGTAATGCTTGAAATATTCCCTACAGTCTAGTGAGTAGATCAGTTGCTAGGGAGATGGTGAACCATGCTTGATTGATGATCATTGCTTGTTGATGATTCTTGATTGATTGAAATGTTGTAATTAATATATTGGTTAATATAGTTGTGCATGTTATCGATTTGATTAAGAGTGATCAACCTTGATAATCAAACTAGATTGCACTGTAATTTCCAATGACATGAACCCTTGATTTGGGAATTGCTTTAGTTGATTGAATTTTATTGTGATTTTCCTTGTTTGTCATTCCTAGTGAACCCTAGATTGACTTATAGGAGATAGCTCTTGAATCCTCTTGACTGCAACTATTATTTTCCTTTACAATGTTTGAATCAGTTGAGTTTTCTTCTCTTGGCATGATTATCAAGCTTGCATTTGGATCCTTAATCCCTAGTGTTTGTTATATCGATTTTATTCATTATTTAGTTGATTGAAACCTTAGTTACACTACAAACTACCTCTCATTCTTTGAAGTAGCTTGACTTTAGGCTATAGCAATCTCCCCCTCATTCCTCGTGGTTCGACTCGGACTTACCCCTATACTAGGAGTAGGTTTGGTTATCTCTTTTGTTTAATTGAAGGTGTTTTAGAATCCAACGACCTAAAATTCCCCATATCAAGAATATAATCAATGTTTGTTGGCTTTGGATAACACGTGGGAAGTTTTATTAAATTATCTGTGCATAGAATTCATTTACTACGGAAGTTTCTTATAGAATGATAGTTTAAGTAAATATAAGTGCTAGAACAATCTAATTGACCTGATAACATTTACAGTAAGCTCTGCTTCTCTAAATCTATCATGATAGATATTTCCATAAATCAATTCAATCAGCATAATGTTGCATTTACAAGAACTATAGGTTTTTTCAAGATATCAAGTTTGTTATTTCTCTGCTTTCAAGGTGTAAAGATGAGAATACTAAATATTGAATATTGTGTGGTTCATATTGTGTTGGCTTTATTTGGATTGTTGCTGAATGTTTTTGAAGTTAGTTTCTTGAATAGTAGAAATTAATATATATATTTTTAAAATTAACCATATTTTCCAAGTTTTATAAGGGCCCTTAATTTGGTCATCAAGCATTTGCTTATAAAAATATGGGTTGTTGACTAAATATGCCTTTGGCTTGTACTTATATGGCAATTCAATTTTTTTATAAAAAAAGTGAAGGAAGTGTATAGTTTTTGTAATATAATTGTTTATGTTGTAAAAGCATAGGAAAATGTGAATATATATGCTATATGCATGGTATTTGGAGACGCCCATATACAGTTATAGTTTGAAAGAGCTCAAGATTAATGGAGTTGTCAGATGAATATAATATTGGAAATGTGCTTGAGTGATTCGAGTGGTATTTGAAGATGAACAACAAGACTGAGATGGAGCTTGCAGTGATTATTATTGTGTGGTTGATATAAAATAGCAGGAATAATGTGTGTGGGGCCTCCTCTTCATCCAGCTGAAGTTGAACTTGTAGAATGTAGCGTTTTGGGAAGAGAAGGAAGCAAAGGAGGGCACTTATATTCAGCACCATCACTTTCATCTATATATCTTTTGTTCTCCTTGTTACTCTATGCACAATCTACCTTTAATTTGTAGTCAAACTAGGATCAAATGAATCATTAACTGGTAAACTGGGAACAAAAAAAGAGGTCTATTTTATCTCACATGTATTTAACTTGTGTTACTGGCTTATGTACTATGCTGCTTACAATCTCTCATCTTAACTCTTAAGCTTATACTTTTTTTTTATTCTTATAACTAGCTTATGCTTCCTTAATAGAAACATTTCAAGAGAAATCGTATGTGAACAAGATAAGATCCTTATTCATAACAATTTTAGTATAACTATAATTGAATGGAGCTTCTTCCTAATGCAATACCAACTAAAAGTTCGTAAACTTAGAGGTTCAAATAAATAACTTCCAATGATGTATGGCTCAATATATCGCGCGCATCGTGCGCGTGGGCTTCCCTAGTAAAAGGAAAATTTGTAAATTATCACCCAAATAGGAGACCGGATTTGAAATTACCACCCGTTAAATATATTTTCTTTATTTTACCTCCCCTTAAATTAAAAAAGTATTCTAATTCCCACCATTTTCAAAAATCCGGTGGATTTTCTATTTGAGCCTCACTTAACGACTATATTAACCTTTTTAACTGATTTTCCCCGATTTTTCTATTTGAATCAGCTTGCAACTTCAATTCCCATTCCATTTGTTCTTAAATTAAGGTCTTTGCCAACTATAATTTGGGTAAATGGGTAGATTTGGGAATTAGGGTTCTTGGGACAATTGAATTGGGCATTTTCAACAATTAGGGTTCTTGTTGCTAATGAATTAGGTTTTTCTATGATATTCAATCCAATGCAAACTTCAAAATCAAATGTAATCCAAAAAATTACCAGAAGAAACTAACATTTTCTATAGAAATTAAAATTTAGGGCTTAAAGAATACCAAATTAGAAGAAGAAACGGCGGTGGAAGAAAAGAGGCCACGAGAAGGGAGGTCGGAGAGGAAGCTGACAGCGGTATCGGTGGTGGTCGGAATGGAATCAGTCGGCGGCGGAAAGGCAGGAGAAGAACCCTCCTCCATTGTTGGCGCACCTTTTAGAATCAAAAACTTGGATTTGCAGGAGAAGAACCCTCCTCCATTGTTGGTAGAGTTTAATGAAATATTGAGAGGGTTAGGTCGAGAGAAAAGAAGAAAAAACAAGGATGGAAGGTAGTTTTATGGGGCCCACAAACGGAAAACCCCCCTGTAGACACCAAATGTGTCTTCCCAAAACCGAACCCAGTAATGAATACCTTTCACGTAATTTAATTATCAAATAAAGTGAAAGTGTGAAAAGTCTAGTGATGTGGTTGTTTTTATTAAATATCTCTCTTTCTATTTTTGAAAATATTTCTATCTATACTCTATTTATGAAAATAGCTATTCCAATTTAGTTTGGTGCGTGATAAGGGTCCAATAATAATGTAGTTGGATTGGGCTCGAAAAGCTTTCCAACAATATATTATAAGCCCAATTCCGATGAATAATGAGGAAGTTATGGTCTAAACTAAATTTATCCCGAAAAAATTTTTATATGTGGCCCAATGATCTAGAAGATGGCCTATTAATTATTATTCCTTAAGTTATTAGGATTGATTTTAATCTTCTAGAATAATCTAGAAGGTTCTTTTAAATTCTAATGAGATTAGGATTGATAATTATATTTTAAAGAGTTTTATTTTGAATAAAATAAGTGTTTTATCACAAACCTGATTTTAATTTGATAAACGCGGAATTAGCTGCTTAATCATATTAAGAAGAGGATTCTGCGTGCAAAGCGCGTTTTATTTTTGACTTAGCGCAAGACGACAAGTCTGTCGCCTGGCGCTAATAGCTGTCACCTAGCGCTAACCTCTGTCATTGGCGACATGAGGTATTTTATTCCGAATGGGACTTGATTCGTTTCCGGACTATTTTTTCTATAAATAGGGGTTGTATCTCCTCGTTTTTATTCATTCACAACTCTCTCTATTCTTTCTCTCTCTAAAGCTAGAATCTTACTCTCTTTCTATTCTTTTTTTAAACCTTCCCTAATACAAAATTCCACATACATTAGTTCTAGACACACCTAGCCAAGTTCGAAGTTGCATTCGCCCTAGACGTGAAAGGTTTATAATTTCTGAGGGTTTTGGTCCCAAATCCCTATTTCAATTATTTAATTTAATTGTTCATTATTTTCCTTGAATTTACTAATGTGTGTATTTTGTTATTAGAAAGAGATGCGAGGCATCCAAGTAAGTAATTGCTTTGATTATTATTTTGATATAGAGATCATGCTTTAATTATTTTGATTCCTAGTATCATGTTAGGATGTCTTTATGATTTCTAGTATCATGTTTAGGGTAATAACTAAAATTTCTAATATCATGTATAGTGCTTCTTATTTCTTTCTTATATCATGTTAGGGCTAAATCTTTGATCTTTAATGTTTAGTGACATGCTAGGATTTGTTATTAATCTTGTTAGTATCATGCCTAGGATCTTACTATTATTAAGCTTTATTGAGATTGAATATTATTATTATTATTATTATTATTATTATTATTATTATTATTATTATTATTATGTTGTTTGATCACACCTTTTATACATGTTTAAAGGGATATATTGTCATTGTTATTTCTTTATCACACCTTTTATGCATGTTCAAATGGAATTTGTACTTGTAATCAGGCTTAATAAGATAATTAATAATCTTGTTTAGGCTAATATGACTATAATTCAAGTGATCGCCAATACTAGATTTGTTTGTGCATTAATATTCAACCAACATTGATTAAATAGGTTTAGGGTTAACCTATTGATTGTATGAATACGAGAAGAATAAAGCAAAGGCCTATTTTTAGGGTAGGTTCAATCTCTTTTAGGTTGGATTTGTACCTTCATCCCCGAATATCTAGT